TCGTGATTGCATGCAAATATTGCCCATGCTGAACTCATGACCCGTTGCATCTGCGTGTGCTACTCCCTCTTAAAGACACCCACACAGATGACGCCAACATATCTCTGAGGAACGCCACGAGTATACTTACCTCCATGGCAGGCGTGTCGTACCGGCAAAAGCTTTACGTCATCCTCCTATTTATTCGGAGCCCGCGAGATGCTGTGGCATTTGAGGGGATGAATGACGTGCTACGACGATGGTATATTGCTGCGAGAACAGACGACTCTGCCGGCGAGAGCGAGCCCACCGACGAACGTGATGTGTTATGGCAAGGAGAAGTGGACGGACGGGCCGGAATAGGAGAAGGTGGAGTGGAGCGGGCCAGGGCCGGGCAGGGAGCTGGGTTCGGAATGCAAGCAGATGGAGGAATGGGAGTGGGAGCATTGGAAGGGTTGGGAGCAAGGGGGGTAGTTGGAGCAGGGGGGGAAATGGGAGCAAGGAGGGGAGTGCGAGCAGGGGGGGGTACGGGAGCAGAGGAGGGAGAGGGCGCCCGGGCCGGAATACCAGCAGGAGGCGGAGTGGTAGCAAGAAGAGGCCTGAGGGCAAGTCGTGGCCTGGGTGCAGGAGGCGGGCTGAGGGCAACTGAAGGGCTGGGAGCAGGGGCGGAAATGGGGGCCGGGAGGGGGGTTCTAGTAGGGGGGATGCGACGATCATGGCTAGGGCTGGGAGCAGGAGGCGGGCTGGGTGCAGGAGTAGGAGGGCTGGGAGCAGGGGGAGGAGTGGGAGCAGGAGGAAGAATGGGCGCAGGAGGAGGACTGGGAGCAGGAGGAGAAATGGGAGCAGGAGGAGGAGTGGGAGCAGGAGGGGGAATGGGAGCAGGAGGAGGAATGGGAGCAGGAGGAGGAATGGGCGCAGGAGGAGGAATGGGCGCAGGAGGAGGAATGGGAGCAGGAGGAGGAATGGGAGCAGGAGGAGGAATGGGCGCAGGAGGAGGAATGGGCGCAGGAGGAGGAATGGGAGCAAGAAGAGGAATGGGCGCAGGAGGAGGAATGGGCGCAGGAGGGGGAATGGGAGCAGGAGGAGGAATGGGCGCAGGAGGAGGAATGGGCGCAGGAGGAGGAATGGGCGCGGAGGGAATACTCGGCGCTGGTGAAGGCATTGACTCCAGTGGAGGCCTGGGAGCAAGAGTACTGGGGATGACAGTAGGAGGACTGGGATCAGGAGGGAGGCTCGGTGCAAGAGGAGGGGTGGGACCAAGGGGAACGGGCACAGGGGAAGGAGTGGGAGCTGTGGAAAGAGTGGGGCCATGGGGAGGAGTGGGCGCAGGGGTGGGAATGGCCATAGGAGGAGGAGTGGGCGCTAAGGAGGTGCTGGGAGCAGACGATGGGCTGGGAGCAGAGGAAGAGCTGGGAGCTGATGAGGAGCTGTGCGACGAGGGCGCCATGAGGGCGGCGCCCCTACTGTGATTCACAGGGGCAGGGGGGAATAGGGGGTAGAGGGTATAGGGAGTAGCAATTGCGCTGTGGGTAAACGTAGCGTAGGGTGCAGAGGGAGCAGAGCGAGCGGATAGAGCAAGAGGGGTAGATAGAGCACGTAGACTAAGTGTAGCAGAGATGGTAGAGGGAGCAAGGGTCACTTGGATTTAGCAGGGGGTATGTTTGATGGTCGAAGCTCGGCTGGATGCGACAGGAGTAGAGGTAACGGTGGGGGGTAGAGAATGCGCATGGAGTAATGGGGGTAGTGGGAATCAGAGGTGGTTGTGGGGACACCCGAAATTTTGGCGGGCATTGTTGGGGAATGTATATGAGGAATGAGAGTACCATTCCGAGAGTGCGCTGATCTGAGTGGGTATAAGGAACTCTAGGGACGAGATTGAGCTGGGTGAGCAGGGTGAACATAGAGAGGAGGGGGGTGAATTGTCACGCGGAGAAGGGTAGGAAGAAGTTAGAAGTGCGAGAGTTTAGCAGGCGGAGCATCTGGGACAATGGGAGTTGCGGAACGATGTGGGGTAAGACATAGCTGACGCGAGGGGGTCAGCTTCAGTGGCAACGGGATAGCAAGGGATCGGAAGCGGTGAGTTGCGGAACGATGTGGGGTAAGACATAGCTGCGGTGAGAGGTTCAGCTTGTCATCCTAAATATCCGTCAGATGTTCCGTTCCTCCGTCTTGCTCAGTCTCTCGTCAACTTCATTGCACTGAACCCATTCTGCGCCTATCGCTAACTTGAATGCACTGACTTGCACTAGAGCTCTGGATATCCTCTCCCCCATCATCCCTCCCATCCCCCTGCCCCATTCACCCTTCGCCCTCTCCATCCAGTCTACCTGCCAACGTGCGTCTCGTGGTTCCCACCTGGGAGCAGGGGGGGTCCTGACATCGTGCATGGCCATGTATGGATCCTACGATCTCAACAACTGCCAGGCCGGCATTCGCCTCTACTCCAGAGGGGCAGGTGAGACGCTTCAGGGATCGAGTGAGGGGAACGGGGGCATTGGAGGAGCAAGGCGTGTATGCAAGATAGGTGAGACTCATGGCCATGTACGGCATGGGTGCTCTCAACAACTAGCAAGCGGGGAACCGCCTCTACCCGCAAGGAGCAGGTGAGACACTAGGAGTGGGTGGGGCGTGGGTGGGGCATGTAATGGGCATTGATGGGGCAGTGGGCATGTGCGTGGGTAGGGGAGGGTATGTTGGCGCTGCTGGGGGCAGCAGAGGGTTTGATGACATCCGACACAACTCCCAATGGGCTTTACTGTTTGCATTTCCCCATCGTCTCGTTCACTTCCCACCCTCCACTCTTCTCCCATTCCTCCCACCTCCCGGACCCTCTACTCCTATAATGACAGGTGCATTTCCAGTAGCTCTAATCGGACCTGCAGTGGGGGCGTTGTGAATGAATGTGAGTAGCACAGAGCTGCGGGTTTTTTGCATTTTCGCGACCTTTCAAAAGGAGTTCGATAGCGTATTATGCTTTATGCATTCTTATCTATGTGGTAGAGCGATTGATTGACTTCAATCCGGCATCCTGGCTTAAGGTGTGTGCTGTTGGTTGCGTCCCAGAGGTATGTGCTTCACATAGTTATGTACTCCCTGTTCATCTTTCAAGATTATCCGCCTGATCAGCACATCCCCCGGCGTGTCTTATCCGTCTCATTCCCACTCTCTGTTTTTTCTCCTCTCCTCACCTGTTTCGGCTCAACATTTTCCTTTAACAACTCCATCACAGTGGTTCTCCTCCCCCTCCTATCCCCCTGCCTTCCCGGACCCCCATCCTCCCCCCTCTTCCCAACACCCACTCCCTGTTGATGGTGCGGCTGACCCCAGCACCCTATGTCAACCATCAAGGCCCAGACCGAGGCTGGGCTGGGTGTGTAGCGCTGCAACAACCTAAACATTGGCTCGACCACGTGCAAACTCGACCACACGCCTACCTCCGATCCTACCTATCTTCCACCCCGTCCCCCCAGCAGCAAGTGAACCGCTAAAACCATATGTTGACATCTCTCAGGTCATTATGGGCCTTGGGTGCCATTCAGGCCTCCGTAATGCAGCAGCTGGCAGACGGCGTGGTGCAGGAAAAAATGACCTACCAGCGGGTGTGCAAAGGGGGCTTGACAGGGTTTGTGGAGTTGGGAAGGCTGCCGCGAGGGAGGTTAGTGGATGTACGGCGGTTGTTGTGCGCTGTTCTATAGCCACTGATGGCTCCCAAGCTGCTGCTAAGTGTATTGAACCCGCAAAGTGCTCTGTGGTATGTGAAGATAGTGGTGGCGGCAGGTGGCGTGTATGCCCCGGGATGGATTGTTGGGAGAGGGTTGTCCTGAGTCGCCCGTAGGAAGCGTGCGAACCCTGTTTCAGCTGCTTATGACTTAGCAATGTAGCATTGTGTGTGGGCTGAGACCTGACACCATTTAAATTTGATTAACTGAGGGTGATAAGAACCAGATAGAAGGCTTTGTTCATAAACTGAGGCAGAGTAAACTGGTTAGTGTTTATGACATAACAAAGTGTCCACAAAAGGAGAGGTCTAATCTCTACTAGTCACGCCAGGGCGCCTGGATGCCCACAAGGCAGCAGCAATGCGATCGCGTCTGGCACGACCGAAGTGTGCCGACGCACCCAGAGTCATGGGCCTTCCGTGAGCGGGCCTACTTGACTCCATTGGACTTGCGATGGTGGCAGCACCATCCCCATTGCCATCCTCGAAGTCAAGTCCGCCAAACCGTTTCACATAGTTATGGAGAATCATACAGCAGATGACGATGTTACATTGAGTGGCATAGCGATATGGTCGCATAAACCGAAGGATAGGGAACCTTGCCTTAAGCTGCCCAAAGGCACACTCTACGTGAGAGCGCAGTGACGAATGCCACCTATTGAATAGCTCCTGATGATTGCGGGGCAGGAAACCCGCATCCGGAAACTGCTGCAAATGGTAGAGGGTTGTCCTGTATGGGGTGAGGCAGTTAGCGTCGTTACGGAAGCCAGAGTCGGCTAAGAGATACTTACCGCGCGGCAATACGAAGCCACGGGCCAGTGCATTTGACCATAAAGTTGCGTCGTGGGTGGATCCTTCCCATCCAACTAGGCAATATATGAAATTGTCATGGAAATCTACTACGGCAAGGACATTCTGGGACACGTTCCCATGCCTATCAAAGAACGGTGCTTGACGGGAAGCGAGAATGTGGGCAGGGATCAGCGTACCGTCTACTGCTCCGATCGCATCCCGGAAGAAGACATATTCTGGTCGCAACTCAAATACATCTATCTGGCTGTCTGTTGGTAAGCGTATAAATTCATGCTGCAGCGCACAGAGCGCACGGAGTACAGCTCTTACACACAGTGAGATTGTTGACCCAGAGCGCTGCCATCGTTCTTGTAGGACCCGGTTGGGGGTCGTATGCCCAACCAGCTGTAGGAAGATCATCAGCTGTTCGTAGGTGGTCACATCTCGGCCGTCCACTATGAGGCCGCGTGTCGCGAGTAACTCGTGCAACCTGCAAAATAGCGGCGGCTCCATGCGTAAACACTCCCGCATGCGGCCTGGATGCCCCGTGAGGAGTTCGCGCGCATACGCGCGTCCCTTTAATATGGAGGTGTGCTTTGGAATCCTACGTGGCTGCTGAGAAGACTGTGCGTCGAGCAGATGGAGTAGAAGACGTTGTACTAATGCCTGGCTGAGAATGATCCCAAGGTTAGTTAAGACGCTAGATGCATTGTGATCTATGTCGGAACGCTCGTTAAGTTGTCTCAGCCTAAGCGGATCGTAATCCATCTTTCGAGACGACGGTATTGCGAAATTAGGGTTTGCTTGTTGAGTCGTCATTTTGAGCAGGTGGTTCGTTACATGCCGTTTCCCTTTTTTTTTTACGATCATTTTGGTCCCGGGTTGGGTTTTTTTTTTGGCAGACCCAACATCACTGTGGGGAAACCTTAGCCTCGCTTACTGCCCACTGTTACCACCGTGGTGTGACACACCTTGGCTGTTAAGCCTGTGGTGTGACACACCTTGGCCGTTGAGCGAGGTGATCGAAGGCGGCAGGCAGTCGGCTGTAATCATTTCCCTGCCGGCGGTGCCGGACGACTCAGCGTTTGTCTTTACGCTCCCACCATTGTGCTTGGGCAATGGTGGGGGGGTTTTTCCCGAATTGCTATCGAACAGGACCAGAATTGACGAAAAAATACGGCTTTATTGCGCGACTCTGTCAGAACTATATAGCTTATACTATTGTGTAGGCTATAGTGGGGTATCCCATAGGGGGTACAACCCAATTAGGGTTTCCTATTTGTACTCACTTCGTTCATAGTCATTCCACTCTCGTTCTTTGTTTTCACATGGAATCAGAGCAGGTTCCCTCCTAGGGACTGCTTCTAGGGCCCACCGAACCGCGCCCCGAGGCGCGTTTTTTTTTTTTTTAGCGACCCGTCGTGTCGCCCCTAGCGGACCGTTGCGCCGCCCTTCCCCACGCGGCCCCGCCGCCCTCTGCCTCGCGGCCCCGCCGCCCTCTGCTACGCGGCCCCGCCGCCCTCTGCTACGCGGCCCCGCCGCCCTCTGCTACGCGGCCCCGCCGCCCTTCGATCGCGGCCCCGCCGCCCTTTGCCACGCGGCCCCGCCGCCCTCTGCTACGCGGCCCCGCCGCTCTCTGCTACGCGGCCCCGCCGCTCTCTGCTACGCGGCCCCGCCGCCCTTCGATCGCGGCCCCGCCGCCCTCTGCTACGCGGCCCCGCCGCCCTCTGCTACGTGGCCCCGCCGCCCCCTGCTACGCGGCCCCGCCGCTCTCTTCGGTAGCGGCCCCGCCGCCCTCTGCTACGCGGCCCCGCCGCCCTCTGCTACGCGGCCCCGCCGCCCTCTGCTACGCGGCCCCGCCGCTCTCTTCGGTCGCGGCCCCGCCGCCACTCTGCTACGCGGCCCCGCCGATCCGCCCAGCAGCAGCCGCCGCCGCCTGAGCCACCGCCGAGCCGCCGCCGAGCCGCCGCCGAGCCGCCGCCGAGCCGCCGCCGAGCGGCCGCCGAGCCGCCGCCGAGCCGCCGCCCGAGCCGCCGCCGAGCCGCCCGTGACGCCCGAGCCGCCCGCGCCGCCCGGCAGCAGCCGAGCCGCCGCCGAGCCGCCGCCGCCTGAGCCGCCGCCAAGCCGCCGCCGAGTCGCCGCCGAGCCGCCACCGAGCCGCCGCCCGAGCCGCCGCCGAGCCGCCCGTGCCGCCCGAGCCGCCCGCGCCGCCCGAGCCGCCTGCGGAGCCGTTCTGCTGTTCCTCTGCTGCTGACCTACCCGCCTCTCCCAGACCGGTGAGATTTCAGCTGCTGTCATGGCCACCCCCAATGTTCTTACCTTTGACGCTGAGGGGAGGGCCATTGACTTTGCCGTCTGGATTGAAGACCTGCAGCTGTACTTACTGTGTGATGCGATAGATGAGGTCTCTCTCTTTGACTTTGTCTCTGGCGCTGTCCCTGCCCCACCTGCTGATGCTGACTCTGCCGTTCGCTCCAAGTGGGCGACCCGCGATGCTGCTGCACGTCTTGCTGTGCGTCGCCACCTCCCTTCCTCTGAGCGTGCCCACTTTAGTCAGTGCAAGACCGCTCAGGCCTTGTACGACGCTGTAGTTGCACGCTACTCCTCCCCTTCCTCCGCTACCCTTAGCCGCCTCATGCTACCGTTTCTCTTCCCTGACCTCGCTTCCTTTCCCACTGTCGCTGACCTCGTTACCCACCTCCGTGCTAGTGACACCCGCTACCGCGCTGCCCTTCCTGCTGAGTTCCGCGCTGCGAACCCTCCTCCCATGTACATCACTCTCTACTTTCTCGTCACCCGTCTCCCTGAGTCCCTTCGTGTCGTTAGGGACCAGTTTCTCTCTGTCTGTCCCACCACTCTCACTGTCGACCTCCTTGAGGAGTCCCTGCTAGCGGCTGAGAAGAGTATTGTCGCTGTAGGGGCCTCTCGGGGTGACCCTCGCACCCCCATCTTTGAGGGGTGTGGTCCTTCCCCCCTGCTGCCCTCTGTCGCCTCTGCCGCTGCGGCCGACCTCACTGGTTTTGAGTCGGTCGGCGCGGCGTCTGCCCCCAGCGGCAGACGCCGCGCTGGCAAGGGCAAGGGGGGCAAGGGAGCGGGTGGAGCTAGAGGGGGCGGTGGAGGAGGCGGTGGGGGTGGCGGGGGGAGTGGGGGTGGCGGTGGGGGTGGTGGCGGGAGTGGAGGTACTGGTGGCGGCGGTGGAGGCGGAGGTGGCGGCGGAGGTGGTAGCGGAGGAGGCGGTGGGAGCGGTGGGAGCGACGGTCCTGGTGGGGGAGGTGGAGGTGGAGACGGGGGTGGCGGTGGAGGCGGGGGTGGCAGTGGAGGCGGGGGTCGGAGTGGCTCGTCCCAGCGGAGCGGCTCCGGGGGTGGTCAGCGCCAGCAGCAGCAGCAGCAGCAGCCGCAGCAGCAGCCACAGCAGCAGCAGCGCTCTCGCACCGTCCCCGCCCCTCAGCAGCTCCGTGAGTGGTACTCGCAGCGTCAGCGTGGTGGTGCGCTTGGTCCTTGCCCCTACGTTCTCCGCACCAGTGACCGTGCAGGGGAGAGGTGTGGAGGCGCCCACACTGCCCGCCGCTGCTTTGGCCGCCTGACTGACGCCTGGCGTCAGCAGTTTCCGGAGGCAGCTGAGATTCCCCGCTGGGGAGAGCTGTCTAGGGCTGGTGTAGCTATTTATGATCTTGATTTTGATGCTATTCTCTCTGCTATGTATGCTGCGATTGGTAGTGATGAGGATGACTGTTACCGGTGTTTCCCGCCCGACCCGGGCATTGGTACTGCCGCGTCAGGTACTAGTGAGGCTGCTGCTCTAGGTGCCAGTGCGTCTGTGCTCTCAGGTGCTGGTGAGTCTGCCCTCTCAGGTACTGTGTCGGCTTCGGCCTCTCACACCTTCACCCTTGACTCTGGAGCGTCTCGCTCCTTCTTTCGGGACCGCACCACTCTCACGCCGCTGAGTCGGCCGGTTGCGGTGTCCCTGGCTGACCCCTCTGGGGGGCCTGTCCTGTCTCGCTTCTCCACTGTCCTCCCGTGTCCGGCGGCCCCCTCTGGCACCCTGACTGGTCTTTACCTCCCCTCGTTCTCGACGAACTTGGTGAGTGGTGCTGACCTCCAGGATGCGGGTGTCCACCAGTTCACCCCTGCTCGTCAGCGGGTGACCCACTGCACGGAGGCGGATACAGGTCGCCACCTGGCTACGTTTACACGTCGGCCAGGGTCGAGCCTGTACACTCTGACCACTGCTTCTCCTCCAGGTGCTGAGTCTGGTAGGGTCACTTCGTCTGGTCAGGTGTTTGCTGCAGCGTCCAGGTCTGGTCCTGAGTCTGCCCCCTGCTCGTGCCGTCGTCTGTCTCACGAGACCCTCCTCTGGCACCACCGCCTTGGCCACCCCTCTCTGCTTCGGCTCAGAGGCATGGCCTCGCGAGTCCTTGTGTCTGGTCTTCCCCGGTCTCTCCCTCCCCTCCCTCCGGGCCCTGGCCCCACCTGTGTCCCCTGTGTCGAGGGGCGCCAGCGTGCTGCCCCTCACTCCTCCCAGTTTCCTCCGACAGAGGCCCCGTTGCAGACGCTTCACATGGATGTGTGGGGCCCAGCCCGCGTCCGTGGACAGGGTCAGGAGCGCTACTTCCTGCTGGTGGTTGACGACTACTCGCGTTACACCACAGTCTTCCCCTTGCGCAGCAAGGGTGAGGTCACTGCGGTGTTGATCGACTGGATCCGCGCAGCTCGTCTCCAGCTTCGGAGGAGCTTTGGCTCTGACTTCCCTGTTTTGCGTCTGCACTCGGACAGAGGCGGAGAGTTCTCCTCTGGCCTCCTGAGTGCCTACTGTCGTGCGCGAGGCATCCGTCAGACCTTCACGCTTCCGGACTCACCACAGCAGAATGGGATTGCTGAGCGCCGCATTGGCATGGTCATGGACGTCGCTCGTACGTCCATGATGCATGCGGCTGCTCCCCATTTTCTGTGGCCGTTTGCGGTCAGGTACGCTGCGCACCAGATCAACCTCCACCCCAGGGTCTCTCGACCGGAGACCTCCCCAGCCCTGCTGTGGACGGGGAAGGTTGGCGATGCGTCGGCGTTCCGGGTCTGGGGATCTCGGGCGTTTGTTCGCGACCTGTCTGCGGACAAGCTGTCCCCTCGTGCTTCTCCCTGCGTCTTCCTGGGGTTCCCCCCCGACGCCCCTGGGTGGCAGTTTTACCACCCCACCTCTCGACGTGTTCTGTCCTCCCAGGACGTCACGTTCGACGAGTCGGTACCCTACTACCGCCTCTTCCCCTACCGCACTCCGTCCCTCCCCCCACCCCCGCTCTTCTTGGTACCAGGTCCCCCCCCAGTAGTCCCCATCCCCCCTCAGGGTCCTGCCCCTTCAGGTCTGTCCCAGGTAGACGCGGTCGAGCCTGTCGAGGTCACTGGTGACTCTGGTGCTGCTGCGGGAGCTGAGCCTGGGGGTGCGGAGTCTGGGGGTGCTGAGCCTGGAGGTGCCGAGTCTTGGGGTGCTGAGCCTGGGGGTGCTGAGCTTGGGGGTGCTGTGCCTGGGGGTGCTGAGCCTGGAGGTGCCGAGTCTGGGGGTGCTGTGCCTGGGGGTGCTGAGCCTGGGGGTGCTGAGCCTGGGGGTGCCGTGCCTGGGGGTGCTGTGTCTAGGGGTGCTGAGCCTGGAGGTGCTGTGCCTGGGGGTGCTTCGTCTCGCCGGGAGCCACTCTCCCCACAGGAGCTGCGTGAGTGGTTTGCCGGGCGCTGGAGGCGTGCTGCTGGTGCTGGTGGTTCTTCGACTGCAGAGGGTACTGCTGCTGCGCGCCCCGCCGGCGCTCGTACTGTGGGTGCTGGAGCTGCTGAGTCTGAGAGTTCTCCTGGAGCTGGTCCTGCTGAGGGTGTTGGCGCTGAGCCTGCCGTTGGCGGCCCTACTGACAGTGCTCCTGGTGCTGCGGCTGGAGGTTCTGGAGCTTCTGGTGGTGCTGCTGGAGGTGCTGCTGGAGTGGGTGCTCCTGCCGGGGCTGCTGGTGCTGTTCCTGCTGTTTCTAGCGTCGCCGCGCGGCCCCGACCGTACTTCGTTCCGCTCCTGCAGCAGGTTCTTGGTCTTACACCTCCTCCTCCTCCCTTAGAGGGTCCGCAGCCTGTCCGGTCACAGTTACAGCTACAGCCTGCCTCCCCTTTGCCTGCTCCTTCTCCCTACGCTGGTCCGACTGGAGGTCTTACTGAGCGTCGTGAGCCTGCGTCTCGTCCTGTGTCGCCTGTTCGTACTGAGCGCGCTAGTGGTCGCGGGTCGCGTCAGCGTCCTCCTCCTGTCCCTGGCACGCACCGGATGTCACTGCGTCCGTCTACTGCTCCTCTGCGTGCCCCTCTGCCTTCTCCTCCTGCTTCCTCTCTTCCTGCTCTTGCCGACCCGGAGTCGGACTCTCTTCGTGCTGCCAGTCCTACTGTCACGCGTCTCCTTGCTACTGCTGTCACTGACCCTTCCTTCGAGTCGTCTGCTGCGTCTGCCCTTGTCACTGAGCTTGTCGACTTTGCTGCACGCTGTCGTCTAGACTACGCTGCTCGTCTTGTCACTGAGTCTGAGTCCGCCTGTCCTCCGTCCGTCGGGGGTGAGTGTGCCCTTGGCACGCACGTCCTTGAGGACAGGCAGGAGGAGTTCCAGTGTCTGGCCGCCGCTTCACCTCGTCTCGCGTCTGTACTGCTAGCCCCTGAGGGAGACCCGGATGCACCAGACATCCCGACTCCGCGCTCTTACGCGGAGGCGATAGAGGGTCCCTACTCCTCTCAGTGGCAGGCAGCTATGGATGCAGAGATGGCTTCCTGGAAGTCCACAGGCACCTACGTTGACGCTGTTCCCCCTCCTGGGGCGAACATCGTCAGTGGCATGTGGATTTTCAGGGTGAAGCGGCCGCCGGGTTCTCCGCCTGTCTTCAAGGCGCGTTACGTGGCTCGTGGCTTCAGTCAGCGGCAGGGGGTTGACTACTTTCAGACCTTCTCCCCCACCCCGAAGATGACCACTCTTCGGGTTCTGCTGCACGTTGCTGCTCACCGTGACTACGAGCTGCACTCTCTCGACTTCAGCACAGCTTTCTTGCAGGGCAGCCTGCACGAGGAGATCTGGCTGCGTCGCCCACCTGGCTTCACTGGGTCTTTCCCTCCTGGTACCCAGTGGAGTCTCCGGCGTCCAGTCTACGGTCTCCGCCAGGCGCCACGTGAGTGGCACGACACACTGAGGACTACGCTCGCGGCACTTGGGTTTGCTCCTTCTACTGCCGACCCGTCGCTGTTCCTGCGCACCGACACCTCTCTGCCGCCGTTCTACATCCTCGTGTACGTCGACGACTTGGTCTTTGCCACAGCTGACACTGCTGGACTCGCCTACGTGAAGTCCGAGCTGCAGAAGAGACACACGTGTACTGACCTGGGTGAACTGCGCAGCTACCTTGGCTTGCAGATCACCCGGGACAGAGCACGCCGCACCATTACCCTGACTCAGTCACACATGGTGCAGCAGGTCCTTCAGCGCTTCGGCTTCACGTACTCCTCGCCTCAGGCCACTCCTCTGCCTACTCGCCACTCGCTCTCAGCTCTGCCTTCGGATGAGTCCGTAGAGTCGAGTGGCCCGTATGCAGAGCTTGTTGGCTGCCTCATGTACCTGATGACCTGCACACGACCTGACCTTGCATACCCTCTTAGCATTCTCGCACGCTATGTTGCTCCTGGGAGACACCGACCAGAGCACATGGCTGCAGCGAAGAGGGTGTTGCGCTACTTGTGCAGTACGTCGGGCATGGGGCTAGTGCTTGGAGGGCGCAGTCCAGTGGTCCTCACTGGGCACGCGGACGCTTCTTGGGCGGACGACCAGGCTACGCAGCGGTCGTCACAGGGTTACACCTTCAGCCTTGGTTCCGGCTCTGTTTCGTGGCGGGCTACCCGCTCGTCTTCTGTTCTCGGCTCCAGTTGTGAGGCTGAGATCTACGCCGGGGCTATGGCTGCACAGGAGTTACGCTGGCTCACCTACCTGTTGACCGACCTTGGAGAGCAGCCTCGTTCTCCTCCAGTCCTGTACGTAGACAACAAGGCCATGCTGGCCTTGTGTCGAGAGCAGCGACTGGAGCACAGAACGAAGCACATTGCTCTCCGCTACTTTCTTGCTCGTGAGCTACAGCAGCGTGGACACTTGCGACTTGCGTACGTGGCCTCTGAGGCCAACACTGCTGATGTCTTCACCAAGGCACTTGCGCCTTGTGATCATCAGCGTTGTTGCACGCAGTTGGGTCTTGTGCCTGTCTTGCCTCACTTGCTCTCCTCTTGACCTTGCTTGTACCTTCGCCTATATATACTCTTGCTCTTGCTTGCTTGATTCTTGTATATCTCTATATATGATCTTGCATGTGAACTGGCCATGTGGCCTTGAACTTGTGCTCGGAATGTGTGGTGACTTTGTGATCCACCCTGAGCTTTGCTTTGCTTTGCTTGACTGGTCTTGTGACCCCTTGTTCTCCCCCACTTTGCCTATGGGGGTGTGTCAGAACTATATAGCTTATACTATTGTGTAGGCTATAGTGGGG